CCTGGCCCCGGCCCCGGCCCCAGAGCAGGGGAAGGGGGCAAGAGGCAACAAGCTTAGAATTTGGGGGCGAAAGGACCTGCTTGCCTGGTGGCAATGCCAGGTGGATCCCGACAATATTATTGTTTTATCCCTACAGGTATAAGTTTGAGTTTTTCTCTCCTAATGCCAAGTATTTAAAACCTCTAGAAACCAATGATTTGACAATCAATGATTGCGCGATACTTTCAATTTGAATATTCAAAGGCTCCATAAAATGGGCTATCTTTTTGTGAAACCGAGCACATCCCCATCTAGCAGAGGGTCTGGGGGAATAAGATTTGGTGGGGCCACCCTCCCCACCCTTTGCTTTTGGGACATTTGCAGGGTTTTATCCATCTTTCCCCGAACGAAGCAGATGGCTTGAATCTGGCTCAGTATTTTCCCCTCAGACGCACAGGCTGGGCTCCAGCCCTCTCATATTTCATTTGCTACCTGCAGAGAGGACTCCGCAAGGGACTGAGTTGCTTTTTGCACATTTTTTCACATTTTAAGGCTAAATACTAAGGTTTTGGGGCCAAAATGGCAGTGGGTGGGCGTGGCGTAACCATGAGGCTGCCCTGGGCACCCAGGTAGCTGAAGCTACCCAAACCCCAGTTCTTTCCCCAGCACTCCCTTCCCTCTGCCAGGATGCTGGCCTTATATTGGAGTTTATTTGTGTTTTCCCCAAATTCAGACTATTTGTTCTTGCTGTGCAAGTTGACCCCTCTCTTCTTAGATGCTTCAGCACTGACCTGCCCTGTGTGCTGCAAGTGGTGGGGTGTCAGTGTGTGGTAGGACGACACAGGTTTTGGATAACCCTTCATCACTAGACACTAGTGACGTAGTTGGTTTTTTAGGTAGCGTTTAAACTTTTCCCTGCACCAGTCTCTGCGGTGCTCTAGGAGTAGCTGGCTGAGGCAGAAAGCAGGCCAGGCTGTTAATGATCTACGAGCAGTTCAGTTTGGCTATTGTTACAGCTGAATCTTTTCCTTTAAGTTGAGCAAATACACTTGATTTCTGTGGGGAGTGGTCGCAGCAGCAATGCCGTTACTTGCGCTGAAACGCGCCTCTGCAGCTCCTGGTAGGACAAGCCTTGCTTGGGGCAGCTCTGCAGGGAGGCTTCCCCCAGACCCCTCTGGAGAGGAGTGCTCTCCCCCCACCCGCGATGCAGCACAAAGGAGCGTGCTGTGCTGGGGGAGTCGCAGGGGGACGGTCACAGGGGAGTACGCAGTCCTGCCCATGTGAAGTCATTTGGGACCCAAAGCTCTTGCGTTGCTGGGTCTGCTCCCTGCTGAAGCATCGGTGGTGGGTGGGCAGAGCCCGGTGAGGCTGTGGGTGCTGTGCAGGGGAGCTGGCACTCCCAGGACCTGGGGTAATGTTCATCTCTGCAACCAGAGATCCCAGAGCAGAGCGTGCAGGCTGCTCAGCTCCAGCCGTGACTGAGCCCTACGCCTTAAGGAAACATGATGCACCCGTGTTTAAGGTGTTCCTGCATGTTCCTGGGTTTCGGAGCATTTCCAGGCTCACAGAGACCCTGCCTCGATTAAGAGCCAGATGCCAGAGTGAGTCGAACACTCAGCACGGCATGAAGTGATGCTCTGGGCCCGATCCTGTGACCTCAGTGCCATTTATGATCCCTGGAGGGTGCTGAGAAGGCTCCAAATGCCTTGTGAGCCTGAGGATTTGAGGAGAAAAGGCAAGGGGATCCTTAAAGCATCACATCACTACACATTCTCAGGGCCTGGAAAGCTCCTCTTCTTCCTCAGTGAGGCTTTTATTGCTGCTTCCGTGGGTGCCACGCTGGGGGATAAGATGGGGTGAAGGGGGTAGCCTCCTCCGGGATGGATGCAGCAGGTGGGACTGGCTGCATCCGTGAGGGTTGCACAGGACTCCTCTGTGTGAGTGTTTGTGTGTGTTTGTGTGCGCAGGGCTACCTCTAGTGGCCTGGGCCCGACCTGGCGCGGGGACTTCAAATCAGCCTTATTCCCAATTACAGCCCCGGGTGGGGCTGCCTTATGCCCAGTGACACAAGGCTTGGGTCATGTCACTTGTCTTGGGCTAGCGTAGGCAAGAGAGGGAACAGCTCTGTGTTTTCTTCAGGGCAAGAGGGAAATTGGGTAGGACGTGTTTTGTGCATTGCAGGTGGGAGGGATGGTGAGGTTTCCTTCTGCACAGGTGGGCAGGCAGGACGGTGCCCCGACAGTCCCTGCCCACACCCTAAGCTGTCTATGGTGAGTTGATTTGGTTGCAGCCTTTTGTGCTGTAGGCTCAAACGTGCCGTGCCTTTGCTACTCTGGCCATAAGCGTTGCCCAAGACAATGCGTGGGCATTGCTGTGACATGTTGACAGCATGCTAGTGTTAGGGATGTACATTTATGCTGCTAGGTAACCAGATACCATTATACAGACTCCTGGGCTTCCCCCAGGCCCTGCCTTGCTCCGCAGCCTTCCCAAATCTCCTCTGGTAACGTTGCTCTGGAGAGGTAGTTTAAGGTTCAAAGCAACCTGTTTTCTCAGCATCTGAAAAGAAGTACCTGAGATCCTTGTTTGTAGGAAAGACCTACACAGTGCAGATATTTTTCATGCTGTATATTTTACTTGTAGTACAGTGGGACCACGATCAATGACTTTCATAAGGCGCTAGAAGGCACCCCTATAAGCTAAATGTTGTATATCCAAGTAATTGTATTTCTAAACAGAGCATAAAGCATGGCATGTTGTTAGCATCCTCTGTTTGAAGGACCAGCTTTAGGAAAAAGCGTACAAATTATTAATTTGCTTTAATAATGCTCCATTTTTCTTTTTGTCCAGCTCTTATCTCTCATCAATAAGTTCTCTGGCCTTCATAAGTCCCCCAGATGGGATTTCCATCCTCTTTTGCCCAGGCATCGTGAAGGGGTGGCATCTCCGAGGACTGCTCTGGTGAGAGGTGGCTCATCCTGGGGGTAAGCTCGTTTGCCACAGTCATGAGTGGTGAGAATGAGTAGGGTGAGGTGGCAGCATAGCTGGGGGAGTAGTGGACATCTTCAGGAGGATGCAGAGGGTAGGGCTGGGCTCCAGGGATGGCTGGGGTCCAACCTGAGCTTCGGTATGGGGAAATGCCTCCTGACTCATGTGAGGAGAGGCAGCTGGCGCTGGCAGGCTGTGCTTGCAGAGGGTCTGAGCATGCACCGTCCGACTGGCTGAGGCTGTTGGGTGAGGTCTGTTCCCAGGGGTCTCTCTGTATGGAAGTGGGGAGAGAAGGCAAGAAAGACCCTTAAGAATAAAAGCTTGTCCTGGAGGTAATGGTATATCTAGCTTGGATTTGCCAAGCCAAGCTATCCCCAGAGTCTAGCTGGGAACACTCACACAGTTTTCTGTTGCTCTAGAGCAGTGTTTGGTGTTAAAACTGTTGAAAGGAAACATCCGTGCTGTCAAGAGTGGGCAAGGCCTGGAACAGGCTCCCACTGGGACCGACCAGTCCTGACCCTGCAGGGCCCAGGAGCTCTGCCCTGGGGGTGTGAATGGAGCTGGCTCCTGGGAAGCAGCAGGGATGGGGACAGGCAACAGCCTGGAGCCGATAAAGAATATTTCTAGAAACTTAAGGAGCCTAATGGAATAGTTGTCTTGGGGAGCAGGGAAAGTTGTTAATTTAGGAGCTGGTCTCCAACAGGAAGAGGGGACAACTAGATGGAGGACAGGAACAAAGAGAAAAACCATTTCCCATCAGCCCTGCCCCATCTGCTGTGTGCTCTGCCCCTGTAACAGACACGTCCTTCCCGCACAAGTCCCCCTGACTTAACCCCAGCTTTAAATTGGGTAATCTTTCATTGGGTGACTGAGGACTGTAGACTCACTCACTAGTAGGAAGTGCGCTGTGTCATTGGGGAAGGATGGCAGGAGAGGGGGCACAGAAGAAGGGCTGAAGAAAGAGCTGGTACCAGCTGTGAGGGGAGTACCACGGTAATCCCCATATTGGTCGGTGAGATATGGGTCCAGAAGTGCCGGGCAGCCCTGAGTGGCAGAGGAATCGCACGAGAAGGGCTTGGACCCTAGAGGGGATGAGTAGACATCACTGACAAACTGCTTTGTGTTGTGGAAATCCAACTCAGTTGTGAAGGATCTCCTGACGCCGTAGTAACCAGCCGTGGTAGTTGAGCCTGTGGTGGTCAGAAAAAAGGGTTGGCTAAAAGGAAACCATAACAGCAGCACCTGGGGAGCCACAGAGCTATGGGCACCTTTGCAGCTGCAAAGCAGAGCCCTTTTCTCTCTAGCATCACCCAGGGCAGGAGTCAATCCTGTCCTGAAACAGGTGTGTCAGCCCAAGTGCTGCTAGCACCTTAGACTGCTCTGATCTAGCTGATGACCTCCATCTGCAGCAAACCAAATGTGTTTTGGGAAGCTTCAAGTATGAGGCCAGGGGGATAGAGATCCTCACAAAGCAGGTCAGCTCCTGGTTTTGTACTTTCTTTCTTCAGCTCCAAGGAAAATGGGAAGATGCAGAGGGAAAAAAGGGGGTTCTGTGTGGCACCTCTCTCAAAAGAGGTGGGAACTGCTTTAATTGTCTCTCTCTCCCCTCTCTGGGAATTTCATACAATATTACAGGGGCCTTTCTTTCATTATTGCTGTTCCTATTTTAACTCTTTCAATTACTTTCTGCCAGGGCTGTCTCTGAGAGGTGACCCTGCCCCAGTGTTCCTTTGCTCGTTTCGTGTCTCTTGGAGGAGAAGAGACAGGAGCAGTGTCAACTGTCCAACCTGCATGGTAAGTATTCATCAGTGGAGGAAAACCTCACCTGGCATTTGGACAAATGGTGACTGTGATGGGCTGGTGCTGCCCTGTAAAAGACAAAGAGATGTTAGAAAATGTATTTTCAAAGCAAGGCAGCTCTCTAAGCATGTAGTTTGGGAAGGTGTTGATGTAATTTAGAGGCACCATTTGAGCCTTGGTGCTATCAGAGTGAAGAGCTTAACTACAAGATTTCAAGCCTGGGGACTCTGAGGTATTAGCAGATGTAGGCTAAGAAGAGATTTTGAAGGTCCTGTGTAGAGCTGATAACAGTAGAAATATCAAGATAACTGGCTTCTTTCTCATGTACTGCAGGGTACAAAACAGGTCCCAATAAGCTGGTATCTAAGTCTTTGGCTGGTCAAAACAGGCAGGTTCTGCACTGCCCATGTTCTAGCCTAGCTCTCCTGTGGTGCATCCACCTGTCACAGAGCCGCTTTAGCTGGCCCCTCCCAGCAGAAAAAGCAGGCTGTGTGTAGAAGGCAGTTGTTTCTAGCTCCTGTTTGGGTGCTACAGCAACACTGATAATAATAATCTCCTCTTGGTCCCTACGTAAGGAGAATTAACCCTGAGTGACCCTGGTGCTCATGGTGGCTAATTCCAGCAAAGGCATCTGCTGCTCTGGAGCAGAGCTCATACATGGAGTTTCATTGAATTCTGTCTCTGGACCTCCAGATCCATAGAGCAGAAATACAGTGCCTATGGCTGCATTTACTTCAGCTGTGCTGTCCCCCTGGCCAGTGACAGTGACATGCTATTTTCGGTTTGCATAGCACAAACAGGAGGTACCTGCCATAGCAAGCAACCAAATTTAGAGGTTTAAATTTGAATTAAATTTGCCAGTGCTCGGACTTCCTTTTACTGGTGAGGGAGGTTTGCAGCTGTTCTTGCTTCGTCATGAAAATGAGCTCTGAGCCCACACGAGTCACACGGGCTGCAGGAGTGATAGGAGGTGTCAGGAAGAAGCCCTTTGGCTTGCGGGCAGATGAGAGTGTTCACATTGCAGGGTCAGGGCTGGAGCTTGCACCTGTCTCCAGCTGGGCCATTTTTGGCCACAGACCTCAGTGAGGATCATAGCTGGTAATGCACATCGCCCTGTAAAGCTAAAGCCTCCACATGCAAATCCAGTCTCAGCAGACACCCCTCTCTCAGCATCCATGTCACTTTAGTAACAAGTTTTCCTGCTCCAGGGATTTTACCCACCACCTCCTCTGCCTGCCCAGGGCCATCATATCCTGCAGCCAGCTCGTGTCTGCATTCACTGAGGAGGAATCTCTTTGACAGTAATGATGCATTAGTGTTTAGACCCCAGTCTTAACACCCCACTGGGAAGTAGTCTAATACTGTCATCTGGCATCCCTAATAACATGGTTGAGCAAAAAATGGAGTTAGGAGGTACAGATGGTACAGATGCTGCCTGCAGGTCAAAAGGCTGCAGTGCTGAGAGCTTGGGATGCTTTGCTGGAGGGACAGGAAGGTCCCTGGGCACAGCTCCCAGCCGCCAGTATGGAACATTTTAAATTACGAGTGCACCTAAGTTCATCTTTGATCCTGTCTGTTCAACAGCTGCTGAAACTATCTGACTGTGTGTCACAGGCAGCAGGTCTGCTTGCACGTACCAGTGATGGATAGCCACAGAGCTGACACTAGCTGCAAGGGCTTTACCTGCCTTAATTCAACTGCAAGAGCCTCTGCAGCAGCCCATGTTTGGCCTTCATCATAGCAGGCACCCGCATACTTGCAGAGACTCACATTTCATTTGCCTTCTGGCTCCTTCTCAGGCGATGAATGGCCCAGCTTAATTGAAGCCCATTATTTTATTTCTTCCCTGCATTACTTCCTTTCAGTGCTGTGGGACTACGGTAGATGGATCTTCTGCAACACACGAGTGTGCCTGTTTCGCATCACTTGAGCCCACAACACATTCAGCTGTTGATACGCTCGGTCTCAGCCTGCCTCGCACATGACCAGGCAGAGATATTGGCTGGGGGTGCTCCAGAGAGCTGCGTTGCTTCACCGCCTTGGCAGCCCAGGAGCATTGTTCAGCTACAAGGCTGCCTTGGGGGACTATCTGTACGGATCCAGGTCAAAATAATGAGCTGGTCCTGCAGTGGAGACCTATGGGGCCCTTTGACCATACTTTGGCTTCAGCACATCTCCTGTCTGGGCCCAATCTGTAGTGCAGCAGCTGAAGTAATAAAAATTAATAATAAAAGTAAAGCTTAGTCTTGGTAGGGCACCTCGCTGGTTTGCTGACAGCAAGTTTGGTGAATGGGCTGTTCCTGGCCTCTGAGTGCTGCTGGGCATAGTGCTTCATCTACGTACCTACCAATTTCTTCACTTGAGAAAAGAGGGTAATCCTCGTATCGTGCAGAGGATAACTTCTGGTTCATGCCTACGCAGTAGATGAGCCAAAGGAAAAATGTCAGACCCTCCCTAAAGTCCAGGACCAAGCCCTTCCACCCTGCAGTTGGTGGGAACTCAGAAGCCCAAGCTGCGTGGTTTTCATCACAGTACACACTGGTTTCCTATCATTTGATGTGTGCAGGGTTTGGCTGTCATGAAATTGGTGCTGTTCTGCTCGCTCAGTAAACAGCCCAGCAGCTCATCTCTGATAAGCAATGACCTTCCCTTAGCAGTGCAGATCTCCTCCATAGGCCTCCCCCTTGCCCAACAAAGGCTTACTGATTTTGCAGCGAAGATCATATTCAAACGAAAGATGCAGCTAAATTACACTGCATCATAAATGTACAAAGTTATCTGCAGTTTGCTTTGATTCTGGATTATATTGTGTCAGATAAAGAGAGCTGCACTTACAGCTGTTCTTTTCATGATACGTTCAAGCAAATACGGATGTTTGCCTTGCACAGTAATTTTTCATATCTCACAGAGAATTAGCAACAGGGCTGATTTTGCCTTGGACGCACAACTGCTAAGCTTTCAAATACAAAGCAAAGGGCAATAAAGCATGCAGCAAGTATTTTAGAGTTTCTAGGGCTTTTGATTTGCAGTCATTGAAGCTGCTGCCTCCAGAAAGGGAGCAGGTAAAGCATGATAGTCATCAGCCAGGATCTGTGTTCTCAGTGAGTGCAAACACAGCAGTTGTTCCCTGCTGCTCCTGAAAGAAGTCTTCCTAAATGCTTGCCTGGTAGGAGCATGTGTTTCCCAGGCTCAGGGTGTCTTCTGCCTTTCTGCATTAGCTGAAGGCTGTGAAGATACCTATGGCTGGATCTTGCTTGGTTTGGTAATGCCCATGCTGTTTTTCTGCCTGTCTTGTTACACAGAGTTAACACGCTTGAGAGTAACAGTGAGAAAAATACTTGCAAGTCTCTCTGAGGTCTCTTGGTTTTGCTAAAGGCAACAAGCCTGAGGGAAACGGCTTGGGGGGAAAAAAGAGCATCAGAACTCCTAATGCATGTCTTCTGCTGTCGGTAACTGTGGTCTCTCCTCCTACCGTCTCCTTCCAGGACACAGTTTCAGCAGCTTGGCTCCATCTCCTCGTCTGTCAGTGGCCCCATTGCTCTCAATCAGCCTGGAAGTGAAGTGCTGCTGCTTGGTAAAGGTGAGTCTTGAGAGCAAACGGGGAACGGCTTATTGTGCCACTGGATGCCATGTGCTGGCACCTGAACTATTGTGTCCTCGTCTGGGGACAGCATCACTTTTCTGGCTACTAATTGAGAAAAAACAGCGTAGTGTACTATAATTTAATTTAGGTTTCCTGTTGCCATAGAACCACTTTAAGAAGAAATCATCTTTTACAAGCTGATGCTTGGCCTCTTTCCAGACCATAACATCACTGCATCTCCGCTGGCACTCCAGTATGCCAGAGAGGAGCTGGAAGGAGCACAGTATTCAGGGAAGAACATCTATTTTTGTGGCACTGAGTAAGTGTAGCTAGTGAAAAAGGAAGTTGACTTGGAAAGGTGTCATGTGCAGGATGTAAAAGGAATGAAAAATTTATCACTATTGATTTGCTGGAAAAAAAAAAAAATAAAGGACCCTAATCTCTCAGAGGTTCACTGATGTAAAAAATCAAGGAGCCATCTGTGATCCTTTGGGGAAAACACTAGTGTTGCAGTTGTTTTTGCTGTTTTCTGTCAATATTGTCAAGTGCCCTGAACTCAGCATAAATGCTCTTTAAACCACAGGAATACATGACATGACTTTTCTGGTTTAAAAAAAAAAAAAAGGGAGGGGGGAGGTGGGTGGGAAGTGACTTACATTGAAGTGGGAGCCAGTGCTCTGCCTGGATCGTTTTTCAGCAAGGAGATCTTTGACCGTGTGTTTCACTCGCACTCCTTGGTACACCCGTTTACCAAAATCTGTAGGGACTGAAGGAATGAAACAAGCATTAGAGGACTTCAGTGAAAGC